AGGGATAACGCGGTGTGTGCTCTGCGGGGCGCGTTCCTGCGAGCTGCAGGTGATTTAAAGTTGTCACCGCCGAACAGCCTCATCGCCTACGAGTTGTTGTTGTTGTCGTCGTCGTCCTCCGGGCTCCTGTCTTTAAACGCTTCCTGTCTATGGCAAGTTTGCAAAACCACAGCTTTTGTCCCGCCTTGGCTGCTGCCGGTTTGCTCAGTACAAAGGATTAACAATCGCAGGATGATTTACGAAACGGAGGAACTTTTGCTTTTGCTTTCAGAGCTGAAGAAATAATAGCAATTTTCAACCCTCCTCCCTCTAGCATAAACCCAGTTGTTTCGGGTTCTGTGCCGATTTCCTGTCTCCATAGCCATTTTCAGCGTGGTAGTTTTGTCCTTGTTTATCAGCTGTTACCAGCACAGTAAAGTGAAACCGTGAGTAATAAAAGTCCAGGTTAAGGCAAACATGATGAGGAATATTCCTCTTCAAAATTACTTAAGCAATTAGGGTTTGATAAAGGCATTCCAAGAAAGAGAAAGAAATGCTTTTTAATGGCTGTTGGAAAGATTGCAGCAGATTTCTCTAGAGATCTCCAGGGAAAAAAAAATCCTATATATAGTATGCTATAGACTTAATTGTAAGTATTGGGATGACACCAATCTTATATATGTTAAATAATCTGTGTCATTGGATTGCTTATAGCTGGAAAAAGTACAATTACCTGTTACAATGCCTGTTTGCAGTTGGAATATTTTCCTTTTGTATACTGCATAGGAATTACTTGAATTAGTAGTCACTCCTAGAAGTTATTGTCCTTTTTATAAGGAGATGTTCCAAATATCAGTTCAGTACCCTCAGAGATCATTCTGGGGGAGGCTGATGATAAAATTGAGGGGGTTGGTGTCAATACCAGTGATAAAACTTCCTGTAAGTTGTTTGTTGTTTTTCTCTCCCTTTTGAAGAACTCTTTGATGGCAATTCCCACTCCAGATACTGTTTATCAGTTTAAACTCAACAGGTCTAGAAGTTGAGCTGTGGAATTAAATATGTAATGATGCAGCTGTTAAATATCAATAAGAAGAGCTAAACTTTGTTGTTGCTGTGTGTTGTTTCTCTGTAGGCAGCAGATGAACCTGCCTACCTGACAGTGGGGACTGATGTCAGTGCCAAGTACCGTGGTGCCTTCTGCGAGGCAAAGATTAAGACAGTGAAAAGGCTTGTGAAAGTCAAGGTACTGTGCTGTGATTGCTGCTGGTTTTGTTAAAACCTTGTGCTCAAAGGGTTGTCAGGGAAGATCCTAGTCCTGAAGATTAGAGATGTTCAGCACCTTCACTGTCTGCATTTAAACAACATTTGTATGGGTTTTTTTCTGTTTTCTTGATTGGGTTTGGGTCAGGTTTTGTTTGGGGTTTTTTGTCCTTTTAGTGAGGGATATTGTTGTGGTTTAGTTTTTCTTAGGAGGATGCTGGAACAAGAATGAGCTTTCTTGCTCCATCTTTCCTGATGGCATTTATCTCCTGTTTTTTGAATGCATCAGTTTCCCAGCAATAAGTTTTGATGTCACAAATAGAGGATTATGGCTTTGCATGAGTAATAAGGAATAAGAACAACCTCCTCAGCAGCAAAACTTCCATTTCATTCCAACTGACACTCTCACTTTTACAGCAACGGCAGAGGCAGTGCCAAAATAAACCAACAGCAAAAGAGATGGCAATAACCAGTTTTTAGACCAGGTTTTAGCAATGCGCAGGATAAGATATGTGAAGTTTTGAACATCCTGCCCAGGCTGTAGCTGAGTTTCTGTGCATGGATAATGCACATAATATTCATTCACATTTTCAGGCCTTACAACCAAAGGAGAAGGTTGGCATTTTGGTGTTGCAGTGCTGTTGTAAATGCCACTGTGGGAAGATAAGATCAGTTAAAGGAAAGTTTAGAATTCAAAGTATAGAAATAGTTCTTTTACTTGGTTTTGTCAAACTCTTCCTACTTCAGTGTCTACTGGCCAAGATATGTAAATAAGGCATTAGTGACCCAAAATCCCTAACAAATAGAGATGAAAGCTGCTTTTTATAACTACACATCCAAGTTTTTGTGTGCTTTAATGGTTAGATCAAGCAGAACAAGCCATCGGCCTCTTCAGTTACATATATAGATCATATCACTTTATCAGAGTGCTTTTCATCAATGGAACAAAACCCTGATTCAGATATTGGAGTCTTTTCCCTGTTCCTAATGAGTACTTAGAGAAATCTGTGGTGTTCTTTGAGATCTGTGTTAATGAGAAGCCCTTAGGAAGCAGCTTGCTGGTCTGACAACCTGATTCTGTGTCTGTACCTTTGGTCTAGTAGAGTATTCAGACTGTTAATAGCTATGAGTTTCTTCTTCTCATTAGAATCAGATGCATTATTGCTCCATGATCAGATTTGGGAGTCTGTGAAGCTGCTGTGACTTGGTGGAAGTTCCTGTCAGTGTATCTCCATTATGTGATAACAATAGAAGTTTTAACAAGCTAAGCCTGATACTGTAATTAAGAGCCTGTAGGCACACCCCAGAACACTTGCCAAGAGTGCAGAGAGTCCAGAAGGTGCACTAGGCTTTTCCTGAGAGCAGGACAGCCTGTATCCATCTCTGTGCAAGTTGTATAGAAAGTTTTGTATCAGCGTGAAGTGTATTACTAATCTGAGAGTGTGTTAATACCAATATTATTCTGACATGTGTCTACCATTGGGTTTGCAAGTACAGCTACAGTGTGGTCTGTGATTGAGGGATCTTTGGGGGAGCCAGAAAATTGGTCATCTTTATAGCTGGAAAGGAAGTTCCTGGAGACAAATAGGAATTTTGGATTTTTTTTTGAAGTTAAATTGCATAGATTTATGTTCACTTTGTCCCATCACTGTCACTTTCTCAAAGGGATTTCCAAGGGAGAAGCACAGTTCACTTACACTGTAACTGATCCTGATTTTCATCGCACTTGTAGTGGTTCACATCTGTACATGAAAACTTCCTCTTGCTCAAGGCAGCAGAAATGGTGATAATGCAGTCTGTCTGGTGCTTTCTGTACATATTTCATAAAGAGGGGTTTATTTTGGTTGTAGTTTTAGTGCTCAGTGTGTTGTCAGTAAAGTGCTGTGGCTGAAGCAGAGAGAGGCAAAAACACCTGCAATTATCTGCTCATCTGGAAGTCCAGTTCCAGGTATTCCCTGGGTTGTATCAATACTAAACTTACACAAACATATATTTTCCTTGCCTTGGAATGGCTGATGCCTGATTTGCCCTGATATTTAATCATGATGCTTCAGATTAAACATTAAGTGTGATACTTGGAGCTTCCTGTCAGTAAAACTGTCCATGCCAAGTGTTTTCTGTTCAGTAATGTTTGATTGGTAATCTTAATTTGGATAATAAGGTCTTTGTTATTATAAATACACTTTCTTGTGGTTTTTGTATGCTATTAAAAATCAGCTGCATATTAAAAAGTTCGTGAATATCTTTCAGGTGGTCTTGAAGGGGGATAACTCAACTCAATTAGTGCAAGATGACCAAGTGAAAGGACCTCTAAGAGTATGTATATTGCAAGAGTTTTTTGGTAATCACAGAATTGATCTGTAAAATGCTAAATGTTGATGTTGTTTAGGTACCTGTTCTCCAGAACTGAAATCAGCATGAGGATCCTCTTCCCTTTAGATAGATGGATTCCAAGTAATTAGTGTTAATTGCTGTAGGTTTTAGGAGTTATTTATGCCTCTCTGTGTACTATACTTGATACACAATTTAGCCTGCAGAGTGGTTTTTGTTACCTTCTTATAAGATGTCAAACTTCTTAGAAATAACAAAACTTTGCAACTTCTTAGAAGTGATTAAGAGCTTGAGTGGGAAGCCAAATTCAAGCCCATGAGCCAAGAGTAAATACAATTACACTGTTTTACAGCAATTGATGTGTTCTATACAAAAATGTGTTTATTTGTATTTTTATGCCATGCAACAGTTTTCTGCTAAAACACTGAGCTGTGTTATGAACACTGAATGCAAATTGAGCTCTTCAGAACAGATCATCTTGTATTTGCCTTTTCCCTGTAGCTTTTGCAGGAACACCAGTGCATGCTGGAGACTGCTGCTGAAATTCTGATCTAGCTGACAGTGTTTAAAGTATAAGGAATAGTAGCAATTGCAATGCTTATCAGTAATAAATTAATTACTTTAAATATTTGTTTTCCATTAGTCTTCTAGTGATGCTGAAATGAAACGTTCTGCATTTCTTACTGCTTTGCTGTCTTATTTGCAGTTCAGCTTTCATACTTGAGGACCTTTGTTCTTACTTGCTGAGTAACTAAGTTTTTCAAAGGATCATCTAGCTAAAATGAGTCTTAAAAAATTAGGAGTCTTAAAAAATTAATCTGATTTACTGAAAGAACTAATGCCCACATGTGTTTTTCTCCATTATGTGTTTTTTGGGCCGACGTGTAACCTTGGGCTGCTCCTCCTTGCAGGTTGGTGCAATGGTTGAAACCAAAATGCCTGATGGCTCCTTTCAGGAGGCTGTGATCAGCAAGCTGACAGATGCCAGTTGGTACACTGTAGGTGAGTGGCCACACATTCCATCTATGCTCTGTAATCTTTGAACAATAGATTTCTAATTACAGGTACAATGTAGTAATTGCATCTTGTATTGTAAGGGCTGAGATAGGCTTTGGAGGGAACTTTAAGTCTTCCAGGTCTGGTTTCCTTTTCTATTTAAAATGGGGTAATAATTACTTGATGTTCAGGGAGGCTGTTGCATAGGTAATTGCAGGGCTGAATATTCAAATTTTGTTTGGCATAATGTATCTATACTGATAGCAGTTGCACTCACTGAAATTCAGAATCATTTTTGCAGATTTCAAGACATAAACCTTGCAATTCCTGTAGCTGAACACCTGTGGCTTGTAACAAATGACTGAAATGTGAGCCTTCCTTCACTGTGTGCAGTCTTGTACTAATAGGAGACAGCATATTTTGTTCAGAAAAGAATCAGCATCTCACACCTTAAAAATAAGAGACATTGATGTATAACGTGAATAACTCCTTTAATATCATTGTCAAATAATGATTATACCTGAAGTGAAAGAGAAAACTTCTCCCATTGGAGGCTCCTGTGCTGATCAGTTGCTGAAATGGAAAGCTCAGCCTGCAGGGTCAGCAAAATGTCAGTGTGGAACAGGAATTCATTGCAAGATAAATTCCCTTAGTTTAAATAATTCTCATCTCCAGGTTTTTCTGAAACAGCTTTCAAAGCAGAATGAGAAAACTCAGCAGCAATCAAGTAATAGCAGATAAGCAAATCAGGAGAGGACAGTGTTTGAATCAGAGCTCTGCAAACACCCATCCTGTTTTAGGAAACTCTTACAGCAGTGAAGCCTTAAGTTCACTAGCAGTAGCATAGAAGAAGCATGCTCCTCTCAACTGTCCTTACATGCTACTCTGGGCATTGCTTTTGAGATTAGTATTTGTAAATTTAAGCTGTGTGTTTCTTACTAGCTGCCTTAGGTCCCAAATGTCTTCAGCTTTGCTTCATATTCTTTCATGAGTCCTCTATTCCATGAGCTCTTAATTGTGTTGGTTCATTAACCCCTTTCTTAAGACTTAAAGAAGCTAGTTTTAGTAATCCTGCATTTGCACTGCAGTAGGTGAGGTGATGCCCTCTGTGGTGGGATCAGGATGAGGATCTGCAGATGATTTGGAAGGATTTATCAGTTTATGACTATTATTGTTGGTGTGTGCTTAAAGCTGACGTAGCCCAGTGCTTTGGGCATTTTTCTTAAGGATCATAACGTTGCTGTAAAGTTGTGGTGTGTGTCAGGTCAGGGAGGAGAGGCTTCCTGACTAGGATATTTGGATGTTAGGATGGGATTATTTTGGAGTGTGGAAGATTTTAAATCTCCTTAGTTCAGTGCTCTGATGTGACAGACTCCACGGAGAGCACTGGACCTTCAACTTTGCCTTATAGAAGTGATAACAAACACAGCCTTGCACTGATGATTTCATGGTGTATGAATTAGTGTTTTCATTTTAAAACTCTTGACTGACTTCAGTTTTAAAAGTAACATTTTTAGTTAATTCTGTTTGAATTTGGACCAGAAGAAATATTTGTCTTCCTACATCTGACAAGTGAACTTTAAATCCTCTGTTTGGAGATGAGTTTTGTCTTTTTTTTCCCCTTTTCTTTTGAGTACTGCACTTCTGCCAAAAATCTTGAGGAGCAGGAAATTTGAACAGTGAGCAAGTGCCCTGCCCTGTATTAGTGGATTGTTTAGATTTAACAACTTGTTGAACTGTCCCCAATAATGTAAGAGACAAACCATGCATGCTATGAATTTTGCTTCACACATTTATTAAAGTTCAGTTCCTCAGAAACTCAAACCAATGGATTAATCAAATATTATAATTTTCTTTCCCCCAAAAGTATTTTTTGACAGGCAGAACAGGGAAAATAATATATTTTCCTTAGGCAGACGTGTTAAGACTGCCAGGATTTTGTAAAAATTTGGAGCTCAGAGAGGGATTTAAGTAATCTTGGGGTAAGTGAACATGCAGTACTGCAATGTGGTACTACAGCTATGAAAATACAACTGTTACACACTGGATTTAGATCTTGAGAACCTTTTTGTGAGTTGTATGTGGTAAGTTGATTGTTGATGTTGAAAGCAGAGGTAGCATTGACCAGAGTCAGCGGATCATCAAGTCTGTCATTAAAAGAAACTAGTATTTTACAGTTAAAATTGGGGAACTGTTCTAGGCTGAGTACAGACACACCGAGGTGTGAAAAATTAGCTTTTGCTGCTGCTTCCATTGTGTCCTTTTAGGAAGTTTTGGACAGGTATGAGATGTGTATTTATGCTGCTGTTGAAGCAAACAGTCAAATCGGTTCCATTTTAATAGGTAGTGACTGTACTACCTCACTCTTACTGACTGAAGAGTTGAGGGAAGTGACTTAAACAGACTTCAGGTCTATAGAATGTCTTCCTGAATGTGACCAGGCTTGAGATAGAAAGCACAAGCAAAAGCTTTTGTTTCAGCAGTTTATGCTTTTCCTGTACTATTTATTTTCTATGTTATCTGACATCTGAGTGTTCTAAAAGTAGAGTGAAATGCTTAGTGAGCCCAGTAATATATACAGACAAGCCTTTTCAAAATATTCAGTATAAATACGTAAAAATTCCACCCGAACAAACTGAGAAGGGATGATGTTCACTCTTGCAGATCAGGTTCTTTATTTCACACAGGGATTTTAAGAAGAAAAAAGTCACCTGAAAAAACTGCTTTGATCGATAAGGTGAACCATTAGAACCAGCAGAAATGCTGCTGCACTACCAACACAATGCAAGAGCCACAGTGAGGATCAGTTAGTCTGTTTAAACAGGATCTCCTGTCTGTCAGTGATGTTCAGGTACCTAAAGTAATTAAGGATTTATTTTTATTGTAACTGGCACAGAATCACTTTTTCACCTCTCTTTTACTTATTGATGATACTGTAGCCATTTAGTCCTATCAAATTTTTCAGCTGTGATTTGGAAATACTTCTGAAATTGCCATTGAAATTCAGCTTTTCAGTATAAGTAGGTGAAGAAACAAAAGCTGTTTGGAGTGGCAGTTTAACAGTGTCTAGGAAATGCCATTGCACAAGGGAGTCCTCACATCCAAAATGGGGTGACAGCAAAAGGGGTTTAAGTTCTTTGGTTAACAGAGGGCTCAGTTGGACTTAAAGGTCTTTTCCAACCTAAATGATTCTATTAATCTATGATGCTTTAATCTTTAAAATGGCAGTTACTTAAACGGAACTTCTTCAGTTTACACATTTTCAAGTGCTGCATTGATGCTTTTGAGGTGATGAATGTATTGTTGGGTGATAATTGGAGAGAATTAAAATGGTCTTTCAGATCTCCTTTCAGCTGAGCCAGGCTGGAATTGTGGCTGACTGAGTGCACCATCCACCTGATTCTCTGTTACCTTGTAAAGTGCTTCAGGTAAACCCTGAAATCGTGTCTGAAATGTCTAAAAAAGCAAAGAAACCACAACCCAGACCACACCTTAGAAAGTACATGGTCGTGTTTTCCTTCTCTCATGCTCTGGAATCTTACAAGCATTACCAGAATTTCAGAAAAGAAATCCTTATGTAGATGTCCTTTATGGAGCCACTTTTTTATCACTTCTGTACAGAACTAGAAGCGATGCAATGACTACATGAAAGACAGAAACAATATTTCATTTGGTCATGCATCCAAATGGCCTTTCATTTTTGGCCCATTAAAATCAGTGTGATCTCTCTTTTGACAGAACTCAGGTCAATAATCTCTATGTGCTTGGATCTCCTGAAGTGTATCTAATAATTTATACACTTTAAGCAAGATTAAAAAAACAGATCAGGCACATTGAGTCTTGTGTTTTGCTAAGTTAAAACAATGGCAAAGTTATTCTGAAGAGAAAGAGAAAATGTGTTAACGTTCACTAATTTTTCCTGCGAAATGAGTAGGAAATAGGGGAGGAAAAAGCAAAACAGTGAGAGGCATTTGCAGGTCCTAGTATTAGGGCTGTAAGCATTAGGGCCTTATATACTGTTTACAGTGAAAGGTTTGGGTTACTGTGGTTAGGGCAGGTGACAGCAATTAAAGATACTGAGTATTTGGTTCTGTTGTTCATGTTGTGTGGATTTTGGTGTTTCCAATTCATAATTCTGAGGATATCTATCAGCAAATGAACCAGCACTGATGTCCTGAGACTACAAGAGCAGGAGTGCTAACAGGAGCTATTTATAGCCATTTTCCTGTGTTTAAAAGAAGTTTTGTGATGCTTTATGGAGATACTTATGCTAACAGGAAAAATTGGTCTGGTTCTGGCTGCACCACAACTGTGAGCTCCTGACATGTCTTATTGCTGCACGAAGGGTGATAAGAGCTATCAGTGCCCCCACAGTCATTTGATTTCATCCATGCCAGAGGCCTGTTGGTTTGTGTTTTCACAGCTGGGACAGCACATGTTCTGCAGTGTGTGCACTAGTCATGTCTGTGTGGCTGGTTTGACCAGTTCCAGCATCCTGTTGAGTTCCACATGACAGAAGCATCACTTCATCTTTGGGCTGTGCATGTGTCATCCAGGAATCCCAAACCACAAGTGTGACAGAGGAACTGTCTGTTCCCTCCACTTTGGTGTTTTCTACCACCCTGACCTACCATAAATTTCTTCCTTTTGTCTTGAAAATCAGGTGGATTTTGAGGAAAATCTCTATTTGCCTGACGTCTTTCCGTGGAACATGTTTCTGTGCAGGGCATAAAACCAGAGTAGTAGCTGTGTTGGTTGCTTTCTGGAGAACCTGGAAAGAAAGAATAGCAGCATGTGGCAGTGTATGGGTAGAGGAGCAAGTTAGAAGTGTATTAACTGAACCTTGTTACAAATCTGCTGCATCAAACCTTTGGTTATAAAACCACCTTTGGTACAGTGTGGACTGAGTGTTAAAAAT